CCACGTGTCACCCCGCGCGTGTCACCCCACACGTGTCACCCCGCACGTGTCACCCCGCGTGTCACCCCGCACGTGTCACCCCGCGTGTGTCACCCCGCGTGTCACCCTGCCGTGTGCAGGGGTGTCCCGTGTCACCCTCCTGTGTGTGTGTCTCCCCTCCCAGTGTCTTGTGTCGCCCTGTTGAGCACAGTGTGTGTCACCTGTGTCACCCCGCTGGTTGTGGCACTGTCCCCTGTGTCACCCTGCCACGGTGTGGTGGTGTCCCTGCCACCCTGCCATGCATGGCAGTGTCCTGTGTCACCTTCCCCACTGTGTGTCACCCCACTGGTGATCTGAGTGACATCCCATGGTGTCCCATGCCACCCCATGGGTCCCCTGTCACCTGGTGGTGGTGTCCTGTGTCACCCCACGGGTGGTGCCAGTGTCCCTGCCTCCCCACGGGTGGTGTTGGTGTCCCCTGTCCCCCCCAGTGGTGCTGTCAACATCCTGTGTCACCCCACGGGTGGTGCCAGTGTCCCTGCCTCCCCACGGGTGGTGTTGGTGTCCCCTGTCCCCCCCAGTGGTGCTGTCAACATCCTGTGTCACCCCACGGGTGGTGCCAGTGTCCCTGCTGTGGTGCCCCCCGGGTGTGTCAGCTGCCCCTGCCCCCCCACGGGTGGTGTTGGTGTCCCCTGTCCCCCCCAGTGGTGCTGTCAACATCCTGTGTCACCCCACGGGTGGTGCCAGTGTCCCCTGTCACCGGGTGGTGGTGTCCTGTGTCATCCCACGGGTGGTGTCAGCGTCCCCTGTCACCTCGTTGTCCTGTGTCATCCTGTGGTGCCAGCGTCCCCTGCCCCCCCAGGGGTGCTGGTGCCCCCTGGTGGCAGTGTCCCCGTGCCCCGGGGGGGCAGTGCCCGCGGTGCCAGCGCTGCCCCCCCAGCGCCAGTGCGTCGAGTACGCGCTGAAGGCGCAGCCGCTGCGCCGCCACATCCCCAAGAACCCCGCCCCGCACCGCCTCCGGGCCACCGCCTTCGAGTACATCATGTTCGTCCTCATCCTGCTCAACACCATCGCCCTGGCCGTGCAGGTGACGCCCTGGGGACACCCTGGGGTGGGTGGGGGGGCTGTGAGGGGGGCACTGAAGGACCCCCCCGTCCCTCCCCCAGCACTACGAGCAGTCCAAGCCCTTCAACTACGTGATGGATCTGCTCAACATGGTGTTCACCGGGCTCTTCACCGTCGAGATGGTGCTCAAGATCATCGCCTTCAAACCACGGGTGGGTTGCCCGGGGGGGTCACACGGGGACACGGGTGGGTGACGTGGGTGTCACCCACATGGGTGGGTGACGTGGGTGTCACACACCTGTGCAGCACTACTTCTGCGACGCCTGGAACACCTTCGATGCCCTCATCGTGGTGGGCAGCGTGGTGGACATCGCCGTCACCGAGGTCAACGTGAGTCACCTCCTGCTGCCTGGCTCTGTCCTCCTGTCCATCTGTCCCCACCCACGGTCCTCATGTCCGTCTGTCTCTACCCACGGTTGTGGTGTCCATCTGTCTGCCTTCCTCCATGGTCCTGGTATTCACCTGTTGTCCGTGTGTCCTTGTGTCTCCATCCACACTCCTCATGTCCATCCACGTCCGTCGGTGGCTCCTGGTGCTCCAGAATGGGGGCCATGTTGGTGAGGTAGGTGTTGTCCCTGGGGGGGTGTGGGTGGGTGAGGGGTGTGGTGGTGGTTGGAGGTCCCCTCACCCCCTGTCCCCCCAGAGCTCCGAGGACAGTTCCCGTATCTCCATCACCTTTCTCCAGCTGTTCCGGGTGATGCGGCTGGTGAAGCTGCTCTCCAAGGGCGAGGGGATCCGCACCCTGCTCTGGACCTTTGTCAAG